TAATTTTTCAAGGACTCAGCATCAGAAAAAGAGTACCATGAGATCCCTTTTCCCTCCCCCCATCCTTCCCCTTCCCTGTCTCCCCCGAGTGTAGACTCAGCCCACAGGTAAACTACAGGACATCAAATGCTATTAAAATAAAAATAAAACTAGCGCAACAATTTTCAAGCTGTCTCTTCTCTTACTCTTTCATTGATTCAAAAAACATTTGCTGAGTGTCTCCTCAGCGTTTGGGATTACTGTGAGCACTAGGAATACAAACAACAACAACAACAACAACAACAACAACTTTAGTTCCCTAACTTCCTAAGTCTAAAGACCAGGAAGAGAAAAGCAGGCAAACAAACCATAGCCAGTGGGGTGAGTATAAAATTCACATGATGTATTCTTTGCAAAGGGAGAACCTGGGGTCTGGAGAGCAACTCTGACCAAGAGGAAGGGGTTGTGCCAGAGGTGGGAGACAAAGTGGAATGAAAGCTTCTGCACAGAGATCACATGCCAGCTCGGTCTCAAAAACTCAACAGGACAGACAAAGGAAGGTACTTCATAACATATTAAAGCAAATGGCATATTGGGGAAATGTAGCATATTTCCAGAGCTCAAATGTTTAAGGGGAAACGTAGGGGCAGGAAGGTCTTTGTGAGTCAAACCGAAGGGTTAGAAGGTGGCCAGTGTTTTGCAAAATGTAACACGAAGGTTATTTTAGCTCACACATGGGCTTTTTAAAAAATAGTTTTGAGTTCATTATGTGCGTTAGAAACATAAACTGACACATCGAATCCATGATTTTACAAATATTAACACTTAGGGTAAGGCTAGCGGGTAACGTGGTCGGGTTTCACCTCAGGCAAGCCAGTGCTCAGACGCACTCATAAATGTCCCAAGCCTTCTGTGACCTCCAGACTTAGAGACAATAGAAGAAAAGACACACCCATGGTTACTAAGGAGCTTAATATAAGTAAAGGAGAAGTAGAAGTAGTAAAAAAAAAAAAAAAAAGAAAAGAAAAAGTAGTAATCTCTCTACTCCTGAATTCATTTTCCCACTTACGATGTATTAGTTGGGGGTTGATTCATTTGGGGCTGACCAAGGAAAAAGATACGACCACGAGAAACAGCACAAAACTAGCTTTATTGGGTGGGTACTTACTGTTGCATGTGGATAATCCCGTCACAGGAGGAGTCTGTCCAGAGGCCATAGCGTTGGGGAGTCGCCACCCAGAAGGAAAGGAAGGCCGGGGAACTCCCAGGGGAAAGGGAGGCCAGAAAGTGGCTTATGTGTCTAGATGATGTCACTCAGCAGCATGGCAGGCAGTCTCTGGGTCAGAGAGCTGCAAAGGCCAGCCATAATGGCTTGAGGCCTTACAACCATGAGGCTCTATCTAACCAATGACAGCAGATGTGGGGTGAGATTTCACGGAGTATGCAAAGCAGATGGGACCTAAATGGCTTAAAATCTGCTTATTTGGACTACTTTTTAGGTGATGAGATGTGTAAAAATCTGAATTTGGCACCGGTGGGCTTTTGAGCTAACGAGTCTCAGCCTTGGGTGAAGAAATAAACAATGGAGTCAATACACAGAGGCCATCTTTGGCTCATTTATACAACGGTGTTTTTTCCATTGAGGTGCTGAATCCTGTAGTTTGCGAACACGATGTATAGCAACGTATGTAAGTGAATGAAATCACGTTACAATAAAACACGGCTCCCCTTTGAAGTTGTATTTATTTTCATTTAGTATAATTCAAAATAAACCCAAACAATTTAATTTTATTTGATTTCCAAACAATTTGCATTTAGTTTAAACTACGGAGCCCATGTAGCAGTTGAGGGCACAGATTGGAGTCAGAAAGTCCTGAATGCAATGTCTAGTTTTACCACCCACATAACTTCTATCTGCTTCAGTGTCCTTGGGTCTAAAAGAAGGATCCCAGCCTCTACTCCTTGACGAGTTCAGGATTAAACAAGATAATGCAAGTGGAACAGGCTGCTAGACTCTTTGGCCCCGACGTCAACCAAGGGGACTGGAGAGAGGACATCAGAGTCCCAGTGTGACAGGCAAGACACCTCCACCCCCACCAAGTGCAGAATTTACAGTGGGGACACAGGAGTTAGTTGTCAAGGACTAAACTCCCCCACCCACTTAGAGAACAAGAGCTAAAGTGTGGAAGAGCTTTGTGGGGAGGCTGCTGAAGAAATTTGTTTGGGGAGGGTGGCTGTACAGCCTGGATTCCCCACTCCACCTCTTCGCATGGAGGGGTAAAGGTGTTACTTCCCGACGCCAGGTTGGGGGGGTGCACGTTTCGGTGGAAACACGTGGAGAGCAGTGAGTTGTCTCCTGCAGTTGTGAGACAAAGACACTTGTGTCAGACCTTTGCCTGAAGTCGGCTGAGGTCTCACTCAGCTGTGGAGCCCAGAGACAGAAAGGCTGACTGGCGTGTCACTTTGATGGCAGAGCCGGGACAGGGCTGCTGGGTTTGGACGGGCCCGCGCTCCTTAGAGGTTGGTGGGGCCAGGGATGCTGAAGGGTCCAGCACTTTGCTGGCGGAGCCAGGATCCGTGGATCAGGTGGTGGGATCCTGCGGGAGGGAGCTGAGTCTGAGACAGTAGGGCTGCTGAAAAGTGAAGAGACACCAGGTGACGAGGTTAGCACTGTCCCAAGAGACCTAACCAAAGAGCACAGGAAAGCATCACCATGAAGAGTCAGTTTGGATGGTTCGCCTGGCCAAACCCCGAGGTCCCAGAGCTCAAAGCCATCCAGACTACTAAGGACTGTCCTTCCTTCCCTCTTTCTTCCTTCAGCCAACCATGGGCCCCAGTAGAGTGAAGCCGCAACCATCTGTTGGACAAGTGATGGAGGAGTTGACAAGGTGGGAGGGCAACAAACAGTCTCTTACTTGGCTTGCAAAATTAATTCGTGGAAAACAAATTTTAAAGAAGGGGGCACCTGGGTGGTCTAGTTGGTTGAGTGTCCTACTTCAGCTCAGGTCACGATCTCTTGGTTGGTGAGTTCGAGCCCCGCATCGGGCTCTGTGCCCACAGCCCGGAGCCTGGAGCCTGCTTCGGATTCCGGGTCTCCCTCTCTCTCTGCCCCTCCCCCGCTCTCACTCTCTCTCTCTCTCTCTCTCTCTCTCTCAAAAATAAATAAACATTAAAAGTTCAAACAAACTGGTTCATGGACAGTATCGTTTAAATCT